ACCTCAGGAAAGTTACTTAAATTCTCTGTGCCTCAGTTTCCTCTTGTGCAAAGTGAGGTGTGTAATGGCACGTCTCGCCTACGGTTGTCGTCAGGAGTAAGAGCTACCATTCCAAAAGTGTTGAGAACGGCACCTCCATAAATGCTAGTTCTTATGCAGATCGCTTTTAGTTGGAAGAAAGTAGAGTTCCTTTTAAACATATGTGTATTTTTAAGTCTTCATTCAGGCAGATAAAGGTGAAAGAGACGGGAGAAAAAAGGAAAATATGGATAGGAAATAGCAACTATTATTTCATAGCATTTATATAAAAGACATTGTCCATATATGATCTCATTTGCTGTTATAATAAATCTTTGAGGTGGCTGTTCTGAGTCATTTCCAGATAGGAAGCTACACACAGGGGCTTGCTGATGCATCCACAATCACACAGGAGATTGGAACCCTCACCTATCTGACTCTAAGCTAGCATCCTCCCTTCTCAGTACTAAACCACCAGGCTGGGAATAATAGGAAAATAAGGGAAAAAGGTGAGGAAAATGGTAATGGACAAGGGGACTAAAGTTTCATTTGCTTTTTCCGCCATGAGCTGAAGCTTCTCTCCATTGGAATAACAAACATTTAATGTCAAGATCATAATGATAAAAGGTGACATCATTCTCACTGCAGGTGCTGAAAGCTATCCTCAATCGTAGATTGGAACATTTTATAAACACACATATATTAGCAGATCTAATTAAATATTCACCTAAATGTTACTGGTTGAGTATGAAAATATAGAGATAAATCCAAGCTAATCCCCAAACAAGGCACAGATAAGTAGCGTACAGAATGCTGGGATCAGTACCTAGAATAAGTAGCAGCTTAGCATTATTAATGATTATGTCAATAGCTCTCATCTCCTTATTTAAAAAGGCACACGATGGTCCCCAATGTAGTATATTACTTCTTAAAACTCTACCAAATGAAATGCCCAAATCGTTCTGTAATTATATGGCATTTACTGCCTTGTGAATACACAGGCTCTGTGTATCCCAACTGTCTTCCCACAGGCTCTCCAAAAGACAAGCTTAATGTATCTTTTGGGTCAAATGCTTTTTCCCTGTGCCCTGCTCCATTTTTCATTATCATAATACTTGGCGCTGCTCCCCATAATCTTAGGTTTGGGAAGGGGGATGAGATCAGCCTTCCTTCTGTTGCTAAGGCCACTGTTCATGGCTCCACTGAATTAAAGAGAACCCACTGATGGGCATTGCTGCCTGTCCCAATGCCTCACAGCTCCCTTCATCTCAGCATGGCTGTGGTTCCCATGAGCTCAGCGCAGGCTTTCATTAGAACACAAGGACTCTATCTTCCTTGGCTCTGCATCACAACGCTGTGTGATACTTGAATTAGTTTGGTGGGGTTTTGAGATCAGATAGGTAAATGTGACAAGTTTTCTTTGTTGCTGATACAAAGCATCTCTAAAATATAAGCTTTCCTTAATTCAATCTGGTCTAAACAAACCTACTGCCGAGACTGCTGCACTCACTTTTTGAAAGCAATAGTTTTCAGGTCAATTTGTTGATACCCATGTCACTTTGAGCCAGGCCTCGCAATTACCCATACAGCAAAGAAGTCTTATCAGATGCTCCTCTAGCCATGCTTAGAGGTCAGCCGATGAATGAGAAGAGGGAGTCTGCACACAGCTCCTGGAAAAGACTAAGCAGAAGCTGGCACCCAAGCTCTGTATTCAACAGGGTTCTGTTTTGTAAGGTTCCCGTAGCTCACAGCCATCTTCGCTGAGTGGATACTAACCAGCTTGGCATCTCAGAATGTTGAGTAGAGCTTGGGACTGACAGACTAGAGATAATAAACAATTGGCAGAAGCCCCTCAAAGCTGTAGCAGCCTAAACTGAGGTACCACCTCCTCCTGTAGGGTTATACCCCATAACCTTCCCAGCCACATACTCCCTGAGGGCCAGTCTCGAAGTCAGCAGCTCCAGTGGTACAATGCAACGAGTTTGCAGATTTGTAGACCTGCCACCCACTTTATCTCCCCTGACAGGAAACTCTGGGGAATGTCCCAGTGACTTTATTTTAGAGTATTTTATATAGTTTTTGTCCTTCTGTTCCCTTTTTCTAGAGCCCTCCCTTCTTCCCAGGTTTTAGTAGGAGTCCTACTTGTCCTTCAAAACTGAGTTCAAACTAAATGTCACCTCCTCAAGACTCCTTCTGTGACCACACAACTGTCCCAACCTGATTTAGAAGTCCTTTGTCACTCCCCCGATTCCTGTAAATGCCATTCAGATCACCTTACACTGCCCAGTGGGGGGAAAAAAATGGCCTGTTGGTCTGTGAGCAGCCACATCTTATTCAGCTTTTCTCAGCCCAAACCTGGCACCGTGCCTGGTTCTCGCCAAAGAAGGTCATAAGGGACTTGTGCTTGTGCAACCTCTCTGTGCTCATTTTCTCATCTATAAAAGGGTATAAACACAGTATATACCTGATAGGTTTATTATGAAGATCAAACCAGAGCATGAATGTAAAGTGCTTAGAAGAACCATGAGCTCTAGTCATTAACCATTTGTGAAATGAACAAACAGATATAACTTGAGTAAGTCAGTTGCTTTAGACAGAATGCTTTAGTCTTCTATGAAATGGAGATCATTTTATTTCCTTACACATGGTAGTGAGGATTAAATGAGATAACACATTGACAAAAGTACTTTGAGAGCTGTAAAGGACTATTTAAAAACTGCTATTTTGTGTACTGCCTAATAAATGATGCAAGGTTTCTAAGCCAGGAAGCAAAGAAGAGAATTTAGTGGCTAATGCACGGGCTGCCCAAGGCCTGACCCAAGATTTGGATTTCATCCGTAACTCTCCAACACTGGCCAGAAGGGACAAGGTACAGTAACATGGACCATGAGTGAGGGTAGGGGTGCACAGGTCCCAAAGGTCTGTGCAGAATTGGAATACTACCCACCTAAACCAAACCACAGTGTCCACAGAACCTGAAGCATCCCGGGGACCTAGGATCTACAATCACTGCTGGTTGATTCTGGTCACATCATAAAATCTATGAATTCAAGAGCCAGAAAGAATTTTTGAAAACCTGATTTCAAAGTGATTCCTATTCCCTCCTATTTCTGATGTCTATGGCTCCCAAGCAACTGTCCCCAAAGCACCTTTCGAGCTAGATGACAAACAACTCAAGTCTAATTTGTAGCTTATAGGTTTATATAAGTTTGGCTTATATCATGTTCCCACCACTACCGTGTTAGGGCAGTGTTTAGGGACAGACTTGGGTTCAAATAACAGTTTTACCCTTTATCATTTCTGTAACATGAAGCGAGTTATGAACTGATCTACATCTCAGTGTTTTCGTTTGTAAAATAAGGATCATAGTATCTCTTTTCAAAGTTTAGTGTATGATAAAAGAGGTAATGTCTGTACATTAATGTCTGTACAGGTAGCAAAACCTGTGCCTAGTACCTGCTTCACCCCTCACTAACCTCCTATGGGAACTATTGTAATGTTCTTTCAGCAATGCTTAAAGATCTAAACCATATTGTAAACCATCTCCTTTGAAAAAAATAAAATCTAAGAACTGACATTCGGGGACTGTTCTCTTGGTATTTAAGTGGTTAAAAAGAAACCCTTCCTTCTGCTTTAAAACCTGGCTGCACCAGCATTCCCACTTTCCACATAGCATGCCCTTCTCCGTGGCGGCGGTCACGTATAGCAGGGTGTATAGTAAAGCAGTGTATAGCACAGTGCTGCACTATATCTCATGTTTGCTTTCTCACCTCTGCACCTCTCCCACCAGGTACCGTCAGGCTGCCAAACCCAGCTACTGCTTTATCCATCCTTCTTTTTACCGCCCAAACGTAGCTGCAAGGATAAGTCCTGTCTGCGGACAGCTCCCCATATCAACACGAAATAGAAACTGCTCCGGAGTGACCTGGGCTCTGTCTTCCCGGGGAAAAGTCCTTCTGTGCATGTACTTGGCTGCCTATCTCCCCTAGCCCATGTCCACCTCCTCCTCCACGGACCCCTTGGCGGCTCACCTGGCCACCAACTTCTCGCCCAATGATACCTGCGTTTATAAAGCTTCGGGACTGGACCGAATTCTAAAGTTGGGGCTGACAGCCACCCCACGAATGCTCTGGCCCTCCCGGCAGCAAACCCAGGAACCAGGCCCCGGGCTCTATCCTAAAGGCAACAAAACTTGGCTGTGTGCCTTCAGGAGGGCAGCTCTGGCCCCAGGACGCAGTACCCAAGCCCGCCCTGTGCCGTTTGTATCTACGGCGGGGAATGTGTCCCAGGAGGATGCACAGGCGGGGACAGCCTGGAGTGCTCGGAGAAGACAGGCCCACGGTGGTGGTGGCATGGTTGGGAGGACACGGCAGGTCCCCCATAGCCTCAAATGCTAGATCCAGATCCTCTATTCGTACCCCGAAACCCCGAGGACCAGAAGCCATTTTTTTCCAGCCTCGGGGCAGGGGAGGAACAGGAGCCGGGCACCGGGAAGCCAGGGCGACACACTCTTCGCCACCCCAGCCATTCCAGAGCCCCACTTGCGAGCCGCAGTTGCGTTCCATGTCGCGTCTGGAGGAGTAGGCGGCGACCCGGCACTCTTATCCCCTCACTCTTCATAAGGTGGGGAATTGAGGAAACCTCCCGAGTTGAATGGGGTGAAGCCAGCGCTCTTTGGGGAGCTTCCCTCCAGGCCCTCGTCCGGGAGCGCGATGAGGCCGCCCGGATTCACACACCCCACCAGGAGCTCAGGGAGGCTGGTTATCCCCATGAGCACCCCATGCGTACACAGACCAGCGCGTCCTTCCCCAGCCGGACCGCGCCGTCCGCCCAGGACCCGCTCAGGCAGCACAGGGGTGCGCACACCACGTTCCCCTCGCCCCACGGCGGCGGGGTGCAGCCCCCCACCCCGGTCTCCGAGAGCGGCCAGGGCTGTGCGCGCCGCCTCCCGCCGCCGCGGCCCGGGGCCCCTGCCGGCTCACCAGATGGCCATCCTGCTCTTGGGGTAGTCCAGCCGCTCCAGGCAGCCGAGGAAGTGAGGCAGCGTGTGCGCGGCGTTGCGGGCCAGGATGGCCACCAGCACCGTGGGTCTCTGCAGTGGTGACTCGGGCAAAACCCTCGCCTCCTCTTCGTCGTCCTCCGAGTCCGGCTCGGCGGTAAAGCGCGCCGGGCAGCCGCCGCGGAGCAGAGCCCAGCAGAGCAGCAGCGCGCAGGCGAGGGTGGCGGCGGGGCGCGCAGCCATGTTCAAGGCTGGGGCGGCCGGCGGGAGGACCCGCCGCGAGCGCCGAGCGGGGCTGCCCGAGGACGCCCGAGGCGGGCTGCGAGGGGCGGACCCGGGATGCGGCTGGCCCGGCCGGGGGCGCGCGCACGCTGGCACCGGCCTCTGCAGCCCCGGACCCTCCCGCCGCTGCTGCACCGCCCAGGCCCTGAAGCGGGGGCGCACCGCGTACCTGCCAACGCCAGCGCTCGCCCGGGGCTCAGGCTCGCAGACAGTCGTGTCTGTGGGCTGTTTGTACTGAGTCCTGCGGAAAGTTCCTCCAGTCCAGGCTCAGCTTGTACAGCTGAGGTCTGTGGCTTCCCCTCAGAGCTGTGAGGTGTGGCCCTGTCTGCCAATGGGCGTGTGTGTGTGTGTGTGTGTGTGTGTGTGTGTGTGTGTGTGTGTGTGTGTACATAAGGGTACCACTCCAAGAAAATTTATTCTGCTTTTGCAAACCGCAGTCTGAAGTCCTTCACAGTGATGCAATGTATTCAGTTTTTCATAATGCACCCATTGACTAAATGGGTAGAGTTCTGAAATGGAAAGTCTCCCAACAATTCACGATGATAAACAATTTTTTAACTCCCACAGAGGCAGAATGCTTGCGTTTATTAATAGTTATACACTCAATTTCTCCTGAAGCTCATTCTTGACTGAGTAGACCTTGGATCACACCAAGTTTGAAGACTTGCAGAATTTTAGAGCGAGATCGAGGCCCTGAAATGGAAGTCCCTTGTGGGATGCTGCTCTGAAGCCCCACTCTGCCTGCCAACCCGGTGTCCTGAGCTTCCTGACGGGATGGCACGTGAAAGAGGAGATTCGCTTAGATGGTTTACTTCTTCCCTAACAAAGAGAGGGAAAAGCCATACATGTTGGAGGACTAGAGAGCTAAGGTAGAAGAGATGGAGGAAGAGCACAATTAGCAGGTAAAATAAAATCACTAGGCTACACTGCTAAAGGATATGTGTTCTTGAGTGTAGCGCGGGGAAGCCGATAAGGAAACCTGGGGCTTCTTCTTTGTGGGACTGTGTAGGCTTTGATCAATCGATGGGCTGGGTGGATTGGTACCAGTGCACATCCATGACCTCCCGCCCCACGTTGCCCTCAGCCCTGTCCCATAGTCTTTCCACTGGCTTTATCCATCCTTCTCTGCAACTATTAGAAGGCTTCACTACTCTCCTTGGGTCCCCTTATCCCGCAGAAGACTTCACCTTCTTTATTGATCTTCCCTCCACCCCCTCCCATCCCCCACCGGTCTCAAACATCTCTACCTACTTCCTCCTGAACTGCAGATGCCTATTCACGCCAGAGCCTTTGAGCCCCTCCCTTTCCTTCTCCTCCGTGACTTTTCTCCATCGTGTATCTCCACTCTCTACCGAATCTTCAACTGGTGCCTCTCTACTAGCGTCTTTCCCTTAAGCCAAAAACGAGTTCAGTCCTCTCCTCGCCTTTATTTTTTTTAAAAAATGTTGTGTCCCCCTAACCCTAACCCTTCTTGCTTCCGTGGTTCCATCTACCTGAAATTCTAACTTCTCCACCCCCTTCTGCCCACTGTCCTTTTTCTACTAATTTTCAGTACTCAGTTCAAAGACATTTCTTTAATGAGACATTTCCTAACTCTCTCCATTCCCATCCTTATCCTCCTTGCCCATCATAACACCACAACACAATTTATTACATTACTTGTTCCTACCGGACATCTTAGTTATCCAGGCATTCCCAGCACCTGTGCCTTGGCACAGAGTAGGCACCGAATGAATGTTGGAATGAATGAGCGAATACAGTGTAAGAGACCCATCTAGTTTTCTTACATGAGATACAGGAGTATATTTTATATTTGTATACATTTGTTTGGAATTGAAAAAACATATTTCTATAGTAACTATTGTCTAGTTCTTGAATACAGGCCAGAGCATAGATAAACTTTGACATTTGGGACAGGGAAGAGAAGAGAGAGGGAGAGAGGTATAAACGGAGGGAGGGAGGGAGGGATGGAAGGAAGCAAAGAGGTACATTTCAAACAAGCTAAGTGTGATTAGTCCTTCTATGCCAAAGCCTCCAAACTCAATGATTCAGTGAAGTCTGTTTTACTGTAGGATAAAAAATATGTTGAAAATGGAAAAAGAGAAAAAAAAAACACTTCCCAAATCCACTATCCCACCACAAACGCTGTTAACATTTTGGGATAATTTTAATATGGCATTTTCAACTTGGATGTTTTCAATATGGGTTTGTAATCATCCCTCAATAGTGAGACTCAACACCTCTGTTGATTGCAAATGTTGAACAAATATCGAGAGGAAGAGATGGGCTGTTGTGGGGACCCTGACTTGCTTTTAATGCCTTTTCATATTTACAAAGCCAAGTATTATTTAAGACTGCATATATGCAGCTGTTTGTAGATAGAAATAGCCAAATTGTTATCCCTTTGTGCTCTAAATCTCAGAAAAATTTTAATACAAGATATTTAATAACCATGGAATATGTAAACATATATATGAAGATATAGTTTAACTACTACTAATACAATGCATGTCCATATACCCAGCACTCACCTTGAGAAACACAGCATAACCATTAACTTGGAGGCTCTCTGCATGTCCCTTCCTGACACAATACTCTGCTCTACTCCCCAGAGATAAACACTGAATTTTGTATTAATCAGTGTCTTAATTTTATTTAGAACTGTACCTTCTGTGATGGTAAATTTATATGTCAACTTAGCCAGGCTTGGGTGCCCAATTTTTAGGTCAAACCAGCCTAGGTGTTGGTGTGAGGTATTTTTTGGATGCAATTAATATTTAAATCAGTAGAACTTGAGTGAAACAGATTATCTTTCAGAATGTGGTAGGCCTTGTTCAATCAGTTGAAGGCCTTAAGAGACAAGACTGAGATTCCCTCAGGAAGGAAAGAATTCTGCCTCCAGGCTGCCTTCAGACTCAAGATGGGAACATTAATCCTTCCCCGAGTCTCCAGCCTGCCCTGCATATTTTGGATTTGCCAGCCCCACACACTTGCATGAGCCAATTCCTTAAAACAAATTGATCTTTCTGTCTCTCCTTCTCTCTCTCTTCCTACCCCTACCCCTCAACCCCCCATCCCTGCACATGTGCACATCCTATTGGTTCTGTTTCTCTGGATAACCCTGACGAATACGCCTCCTAAATATGTGTCAGTGTTGCCTATATTAGAACTTTATTCACATATCATACAATTTGCTTACTTAAAGTATGCAAGTCAATAGCTTTTATTATATTTTCAGAGTTATGCAGCATCACCACAGTCAATTCTAGAACATTTTCATCACCCCAAAAAGAAATCCCATATTCATTAGCAGTCAATCCCCATTCTCTCCCAACCCCAGCCCTAGGAAACCACTACCCTACTCTGTCTATTGATTTGCCTATTGTAGACATTTCACATAACAGGAGTTATACAATATGTGGTCCTTCCTGATTGTCTTTTATCCATTAGCATAATATTTTCAAGGTTCATCCCTGTTGTAGTATGTATCTGTACTTTATTCCTTTTTATTACTGAATAATATTCCATTATATGGACATATCACATTCTATGTATGCATTCATCAACTGATGGACATTTGGGTTGTTTCTACTTTTGGTCTATTATGAATACTACTGCTGTGAGCATCCATGTGCAAGCTGTATTTGAAATTTATGTAAATTTAATCATTTTATATATTCTTCTGTGACTAATATTTTACACTGTGCTTTAGGTATTTTGAGATCCATCGAAGTTGTTGATTGAAACTGTGGTTGATTACTTTTAGATAAAAATACTTGGTATGAATATACAACAATGGATTTATCTCTTCTACTATTGATAGATATTTGGCTTGTCTTAGCTTTGTCTATTACAACCAATACTTACATAAATATTCTTGTATATGTCTCCTGATCCAAAGGAGATAATTTTTTTTTTACCATACCACTCAGTAAGAAATACATTTGGTGTCATGGTATGGTATAAATATGTAACAAACAAAATTTTCATGAGACAATACTTAGTAACAGTTATTCTAACCATATGCAATGCACAGTAATATTTCCTATTCTATTTTAAAATGAATTTTTTAAAAAACTGGTCCCAAAGCATTCCATTTATTTTATAAGCACTAGTGGATATTTACCCACCATTTGAAAAATGCTGCTCTGGGAGCAGGATCGCTGAATCACAGGATTTGTTCATCTTTCCTCTGCTCTACTTTTCAGCCAACTCTTGGGCTTTTGTTACCAATTTCATGGGTATGCTATAGTATCTTCTTGTCTCAATTTACATTTTCTCACTCTATCAATGTAGATGAGCACCAATCATGTTTGCTGGCCATTTATAAGTTTTTGTTTTTTTTCCTATTCCCGTTTTTCCCCTAGAGAATGTTTTATTTCCTAATTGATTTTTAGGAGTTCTGTTTATATTTTGGATATGAATCTTGTCTTTTAGTTATGCATTACAGATGCCTTCTCCAAGTCTGCAGCTTTTTGTCTTCCGCTATCTTTGTGTCAAAAATTCTTAATTGAAATATAGTCAAATTTATCAAACTTTTTTTTCACATGGTTGGTGCTTGTTGCATCTTATTTAACAAATGCTTCTCTATTTTAGGGTCATAAAATAGTCTTTTATATGTTCTCCTAAAATCTTACATGTTTGTATTTCATTTTAAGCCTTTAATCTCTCTGGAATTGATTTTGTTTATGGTGCAATTGGGGATCCAATTTCTTTTTATACAAATATATATATATATATATATATATATATGTAAAACGCATGATCTCAACTCCTCCCTGCATCTGCAACATCGTTTCTGCCCAAATTTGTATGAATATATTTGGTTCCATCGCGTTTACTTATCTATCCCTGTACCAATATCATATCCTCTTAATTATAACCTTTATAATAAGTTCCTTCAGTTTGTTCATCAGAAGAATCTTGGTTATTTATCTTGGCCCTTTATGCCCACATTTCAGAATCAGCTTATCGGGTATTAGTCCCTGTTGGGATTGTGATTAGAATTGCTAGAATTTATAGATCAATTTGGAGGAAATTGCCATCTTTACAATACTGAGCCTTTTTCTTCAGAAGCACAGTAGGTCTGTCCATTTATTTAAGGTCTTTAATGATCTTCGGTAACATTTATAATGTTCTCCATAAAGAGCTTGCTCATCTTTTCTAGGTACCTTATTTATGTTTTTTTTTCTTTTTTTGCCCCAAATGTAAGCAATATTTTAAAATTTTAAATATACTATATCCTGATTTTGTAAATGGGGAATTTAGATTGTACTCTTAAATTTATGAGACATTCGAGAGAACATATTTTTGGATTACTCTAAATTCTTTTATGAATGATAAAAACCCCTCACATATGCTCATTTATATGAATAGTAAAATGTCATAGCATTCTAAATATTTTAATAAAAGTGTAAACATCTCATGTACTCTCTTTAAGACACCGAGAATGGGAAATTGTATGCTTTGTGTACAAAAGAAGGAACACAATATATATAAACATTCTTACAACCGATGCATTAAAACTGGTCCAGAATGCTATCCTGAATTTTTCAGCTTGAGGTCATTGTCTTATACAATATGGTGTAAAAAGTTTTTCTTTTTAACACACTAAAAATTCACGTCACAAATCAAAGTTCGTTTACCTCTTGAGACTCTTAACTGAATGAACATGTCTCGGCCTAGACATTACAGATTTTTTTGTGGGGATAATATGGTCTGGCTCACATATCAGGATGGGAAATCAGTAGAGCAAGTGCCAGATTACATTGAACTTGATCACATCCAGTATACTCGGGGGAGATTTTTTTGTTGTTACTTACCTAGCTTTCCCCTACTTTGCTTCTCTAATATAGGGAACTATTTAAGTGTTTGTAAAAGGAGAAATCCTTCAGTCTATCAAAAGCTGAAACTCTAACCTGTTCTCTGTGGATTTTGCTCTACATTGCCACAATAGCCATTTGGATTCTAATCCTTTAAACACTAGGTTGTTTTAAGTGTTCTCGAATCCTTTGTTTCTTTTTTCTTGGCCATATTCAATTACCACGGTCTATTTATAAAATTTCATGGCTTAATACAAAAGCCAAGAGATACTCCATTTTCATTCTTCATCTTTTTAAAATAGACAATGACATTAAAATTCATAAGCACTTAATATTTGTGCTTAAATATATCTTGCTTTTTGTAAGCAATAGATCATCATCTATTTGCCAGAGGGTACCATTAGCCTGTTGCCTTTTCTGCATCTTTCTGGGAGTCCCTAACCTCCCTCCCCCACCCCACTTTTTTTTAAAACTTAAGTTTCAACTGCAAATCTTCTTCTGAAGATGGTTGAGCCTTGTTCACATCATACTTAATTCTATTGGATCTCCTTACTAATTTATAAAATTTACCCTCTCCTCATATTAGGAACAAAATACTCTTAATGCTTCTATAAATACCATCATCTAAACTGATTGGGATCTTTAGAGGTCAAAGAGACAGATTTATTCACTTCTAATTACTTGAATTAGTGTCAGTGTTCAGTGTTTTAAGGAGCCTACTAATTTCAGTGCCATTTGCTTCTTTAGAGCTTAGCAGCTGCTTTCTGGAGGCAAATGTTAATGGCTTGACTCAAATGCAATACATTCTAGCACAGTTTATGGCTCTTCATGTGTGATTTTAAATCACATTCAGGAATAGAAGCACTTCTACCTGTATGTAATACACGTGTATTGCATTTTTTTGATGCATTCAACCTTTTTATCTGGCTTTCAGCAGTTGGACTTCAGCATGGACTTTGTTGTATTTATTTTACTTGGTATTCATTTAGTATTTCGTTCCTGCAAATTTCTGTCTTTCATCAAATTTGGGGAAATAGTTTATTCAACTTTTTTTTCCTGCTTCTTTCTCTTTCTTTTCTCTGTCTGGGTGTTCTATTTATATGCATGTTGGATTGTTTGATATCTTGTTGTAGGTCTCTGAGGCTCTGTTCGTTTTTTAAAAATCATCTTTTTTTTTCCACCTTGGATGATTTCTATTGTTCTACTTTCAAGTTTACTCCCCTCCCTGTAATTTGGCTGTTAAATCCACCCAGTGAAATTTTTTTATTCCTGAAAATTTAATTTTCAGTTCCAGGATTTCCATTTGGTTCTTTTTTCTTTTTCTCTGCCGAGATTTTCTATTTGACTCCTTAGGTTTTCATTCACTGAAAGCATGTTTTATTTTGCTTCATGGAGGAGAGTTGTAATAGTTACTTTCAAATCCTTATCTGTCAGTTTCAACATCTGATCCAACTCAGGGTCGGACTCTAGAAAATGGGATCCATTTTCTTGATTTTTCATATGTCAGTAATTTTGATTCATGTCTTGGTCATTTTGAATGATAAGTTGTGGAGGTTTTGGAGTCTATTATTTTTCAATGATGAGTGTTATTTCCTTTATATTAGGTAATTTTCTTGGCTGGATTTGAACTGCAAACTCTGTTTCTAAGGGGACAGCGCTGGACTCAGTTCAGATCTTTAGTTGTTAGCTGAACTGCTGTAATTCTGTTTCCAGTGGCTCAGGACCTGTCAGAAATGTAAGCTGACAGTTTGGGAAATACCCTCTCTGGAGCCTTCCTTTCTGGGATTTCCTAATGTCTTAAGCATTCAAAGTTTCCCGGCTTCACTTTTCTGGTTCCCCAGATAAGAAAAATGGGGAAGTTTTCCATATGCACCTCTGCTGCTGAGCCTGCCTCCTGGACTGTACTGAGTCCCAAGCTACACGCCAAGGAAAAGGGAATTTTCTTGTGTAGGTCCTCATCTGCCCTCTTCCGAGCAAATGGCCCCTCCTACCAGAGTCAGCCTGCTTCTGTTTGCAGTCAGTATTTTCCCGTAGTTGCTTTTTGTATAATGTCCAAGTTTTATAGATGTTTTCTACCTGGGGATAGTCCAGTAGCGTCTTTGTCATATTTGGAAGAAGTTCTGTCTCTGCCTGGGACTTTGAATCTTGAGAGTCATTTCTTGCCTCATGCAATAGCCTCCTAACCAGTCCCCCCTGCTCCTACCTTTGCAGCCTAAGGTCTATTCTCAAGACATCAGCCAGAGAGATGCCATTAAAACCTAACGGGAACTTCCAGTTTCTCTCCATTTCACTCATAGTAAATCCAGAAACGCTTACAATGTTCTACTCTGCCTGTCTGAAACTCCTCAACCTTGGCTTCCTGGTCCCATGTGTATGCTGGTGTGCATCCTACTCGTCTGACCACTCATTCCACTATTCCTGTTTACGCTTGCTCCTCTAATCCTGAAAGGTGGGTCCACCCCAAAATTGCGGTTCCTGGCAGCCTGGCCTTTCTTCTTTTCACTTTCTTCTACAGAGATCTCATCCACTTGGACACTTTAAGCTTACATGACATGACCCTGAATGAGGCTTTCCCTGTTCTCTGGAACGGGAGACCTGGAACCAACGCTGAACGCAAAGAGGCCTTAAGGATTCTCTAGTTTCTCAATAGGGCTGCAACAGCACTGACAAGGAGTTAAGGGCTTCTGGGCTCAGGGTAGTGAACCTCCTTTACTCGCGTATCTGCCCAGATTGGAATAAACGCACAGCGAAATTCGAGTGCGTTCGTGCAGGTTCCAGCTACGTTTGTCAGAAGGAGGGGCTCATCCCACTTTGCTCCGGGTATCGGAGTCCTCCCACGCCGAGGCCGCGGGAGGCGGAACCCAGGCGCGCGCATCGCTGCTTCTGGCCGGGCGCGGGGCGCGGTGCACCACGGGCGCGCACCACTGGGCGGCATGGAGGAGCGCGGCGATTCCGAGCCGACCCCGGGCTGCAGCGGTCTGGGCCCCGGCGGCCCTCGCAGCGGCGGCGGCGCCCACTCATGGGCCCCCGAGGACGCCTGGATGGGCACCCACCCAAAGGTCAGGAGGCGCGAGTGGAGCGGGGCGCCGGTCCCGGCCCCCACCCCAGGCGGACCCGCCGGGCTGCACTCACCCCCTCTACCCTCCACTCCTGCGGGGCCGGGTCGCGGAGTGTGCGCGCGACCCGCACGGAAGGGGACCCGTAGGCACACTGCCAGCCGCAGGCAATACTGGCTTTGTTTGTTTAAGTGAGTTGAACTGATGCTCTGACNCAATACCCCCCACCCCCCCAGTAACTACGCAGAAACAGCTTGTGGGCGGTGGATACGATCTCAGAGGCTGTGAGGATCAAGGTGTAGGCACTTAGCCTTGGGCCCACCGTGTGCGTCTTGTATTCGCTGAAGTGCAGATTCCTAATTTTTCGAATGTCTTGGGAAAGTTAGGTTCCTCCCCAAAGCCGAACTACTCATCTTGTGGGTGTATTTTTCTGTATTTAGCAGTCCAGGAGAGAAAGGTCGTTTCTTGCTTGCTTCGGTTGGGCTCGTTGTTGCCTTGTACCAGTAACATGCCAAGCAGTGAATGGACAATGAATGGTGATGGGGGTTTTGTAGGAATCTCTGGCGCTGGTCTAGTAACTGGAGTAGAATTGCCGTCTTCTGCTGGAGAGCACTATTCATAGGTAATCATCGAATAAAAACAGTCCAGAAAAGGAAAAGGTTGAAGATACGAGCCTGAAAAGTTAACCCCTCCCTTTTCATTTCTTTTATCTTGTTTAATTTTATCCTACAACTACTGTCCCCTTATTCCGCCTCAAGGTGAGAAAAACAAAGAATACATGGAGAGGCGATGCAGTACCATAAAAAGAAAAAACATAACATGGAGAGGCAGCATAGTGGTTAAGAGCATGAACTCAAAGTCACATTGCCTGAGTTTGAATCCTGGTTCTGTCACCAGCTTTGTGATTTGGGGCAAGTTGTTTCATCTCATTGTTGCCTCATGTGCAAAACGGGGATAATAAAAGTACTTCCCTCATAGGGTTATTACAGGATTCAATCAGTTAATATTTGTAAAGCAGCTGACATATAGTAAGCTCTATGTAAGTATTTAATATGTGAAACACTGGTAACAAGTTTTAAAAACCTCATCTGGATTTGGTGGTGAGTGTTTATAATTGCAGATTTTTTTCTCTTTGAAGTTAATGGCTGTATAGGCCCTGACCATTCGATCTCCCCTTTTGATTTTCTTCTTGAAGGATCTAATTGATTTATAAAAAAAGAAAGAAAAAATATATTAGGGGCTTGATTTTTCCAGTTCTGCATTTTTATTACTCAATTTGAAAATACTTTATCTAGCAATATGGTATCAGACTTATCGTCTTCAGACACCACTTTCATTATATTATTCTCATGCTTAGAAATCCTCAGTGTTTCCTTATGGGTAAAATTCAGACTTTTAGCTTAACCGTCAAGGCCTTGCAACCTGGTCCCCAGTTACCTTTTCAGTGCTATGTTCAAGCACCTTTGAGGTTTGAGGACAACTGCAATAGTAACACCCCTGCACCTGTACACTTACGATGAAGCCGGTAGGAGAATGTGACTTCAGATAGGCAGCCATGCAGGCCTGCTCACCCCTCACCTCTGCATCAGCCCTGCTTTCCCACCTAGTCGCTGACAGGTGGAGAACCTCAGGCTTCCGCTGCAGGAGGAGACCCCTGAAGAAGGTTCCCCCAGTGCTGACCGGCAAGTCCGAAAGCAGCAGCAGCTGCTTGGTCCTTTCTTTAAAATCCAGCAATTAAATAACTACTCTTAGGTGAGAGTTGGTGGGGGAAAAGCCCAGGAGCGGTATTCTAACAGGTTTTTCTCCACATGCAAATAAGAGACCAGAGAAATAGAGGGTCCCACTGACATGCCCCAACAGAAATCTTATTAAAAAATGTCTCTACTCCTGGCAGGTAGGTTTCTTTATAGGCCCTTGAATATGTGGCTTATTCTCACCTTTCTGTGATTACTTACACTGTTACGCTACGTTCTCAATTTTCTCAAATCATACATGTCTTCAAGGGCTCAATTGTATCCCGTCTCTGCCACAGAATGTTCACCAATCAAGGCACCTGAATAGAGCTCCTCTGACCTGTTGTGTCATGTTTGTTTTTTAATTCCAGTCACTTGGTTTTTAATTACTTACTGTCATATATTGTTATTTGCCTAACAAGTGTGCAATGTGTTTACCCTAATAATTTCAAGTTTTTTAGATGCAAGGATCAGGTCTTATATTGTCTTGTAATTCCCACTCTACCTAGAAGAGAGTTTTATACATTGCATATATTTAATAAATAGTTGTTGATTGAGTGAAAGAAAATATTAAGAGATTCATCCTTCTCTGTTTAACAATGCCTTTTGATTTTCAGTATTTAGAAATGATGGAATTGGACATAGGAGATGCCACCCAAGTTTATATAGCATTCTTGGTTTACCTGGACCTCATGGAGAGTAAGTTACTTGTTTATATTGTTTTATTATTGGGGCCGTGGTGAAGGGTTGGGGAGCTGGGTTGGGATATAGCATTGCTGACATTATAATAAGCTACCATGTATGCATTTGCTATTAATTTTGTCAATTTAGTAATTTATTCATTTACATTGGAAATTACTGGGTAACAAAATACTAAAAAAGTAAAGAGAAGAGAGCGTTATGAGTGATGTTTGCTCAGCTGAGTATTAGGTAGAAGTTTAGAATTTTTATCTTTGATTTTTGATAAACATTACTGTCCATTCAATGATGCTCTTTCAGGTAAAAGTTGGCATGAAGTGAACTGTGTGGGATTACCAGATCTGCAGCTCATCTGCCTTGTGGGTACTGAGATAGAAGGAGAAGGGTTACAGACTGTGGTGCCTACCTCCATCAGCGCTTCCCTCAGCCATAACAGGTGGGCAGGGGATTTTGGTCTTTGGTTAGCAGGTTAGTTCATCACATTTTACACCTTCAGCTTACACAGTGTTATATGTCAATCATGTGTCAATCAAGAAAAGAGAAACCGTGGTGGAATGTGAGTGGATGCGAATGATGATATATTAAGAGGAATATTAATTTTCTGTTAAGAAATAGCGTGACAACTCTGATACTTCATTGTTAGAAATAAATTATGTTCCACACTCTGTGCAATCCATCTGAGCCCAGCAGTTATAAATCGCTATCCTAGACTATGCCGCTTAGCTGTTTGATTAGAATACTTTTTTTTTTAAATGTTCTTTATTCCTCAAAAGTTTTAAATAGCATTTTCATTAGTAGGGAATCTGGGTTGTATACAAAGCCTGAGAGCCAGAGGACTTGGCAGTTTGCTGCAGGTGCAATTTCATGTTATTTATAAAGGGCACAGAGCATAAAAGGTGGTGTCGCTATCCCCCTTATTGAAGTCCCAAATTTGTAAAACTGGACCAAACTCTGTCATTTGTATAGTTAACTACAACTTAGTTATAAAATATTTCCCTAGTGATGACAATAAGTAATCTCACTGTATCCTTTAAAACCATTTTAGTAGCTATCTTGACTATTGAGTGGCAGAGCGGCATGTATATTTGCATGGCTTATTCTTTCCATTATTTTATGGTGTATATGGATTTGCTGACGCCTTAAAAGATAAGATTTTATGTTATATCTGTGTGAGTTTCTGAGACTCCCTACACAGTTTGTGTATCCATTTCCCACTTTTTTCCCCAGGCTTTGGACCTGGCGATTTTATGTACAGTCTCTGGCAGCATTGCAGTCAGATTCCATTCCAACGTGAATGTGTGTTAGAATGACAGTGAGTGAATGCACTACTCTGAGCAGAGGTAGTTTGTGGCTGGTATTTTCTGTAAAGCAGTTCTACGTAGTATATGTTCATAGTTAAAACCCTTTGGCATACTTTTCAAGGCTCAGGAGGTCTCTCAGGTAAAAGTAGGTATGAGATCACCTGTATGGGATTACTAGATCTGCAGCTCATCTGCCTTGTCGGTGCTGAGACAGAAGGAGGAGGGTTACAGACGGTAGTGCCTATACCGTCACTGCTTCCCTTGTGAACATACTAATTGCTCATCTCCAGTGGGAGAATGGAATTGGTCAGGTACCCACATCTGGTTATCTAGTGGGAAAATGATGCTGACGGAGTATGAAGTTGTTTGTGTTGCTTGAAGGGCAGGACACGTCTCCGTTTTCTCTCATCGAAAAATACTACCTAATGCTGATGGAAAACAATTTTTAGCTTCCATTTTAAAATACTAAATTATGTATTTGGATGGTATATACATATGGGGAAGTGTCTAGATTGTTTCTCACTAAGGTGAATCTAAGATCCCATGTAGCACATTTGGTAAATGACTGAAGAGGTTGTGAGGGCAGTTTCCCCAGACCCAGCAATGGTGTAAAATCATATTGATAATTCATAGAGGTCAAAGAGATCTGATAAATTTAAAGACGAGACAACCAGAGGAATCCTAATGAAAGCCAGGGGCCTTTTTGCAGTGCTAAGGTAGCAAATGAAGTCAACTTTCTGGTCAGACAGCTTGATTAGCTTGTTTTTTAGACCACGTTTGCCATTGATATTGTTGAGTGCCCCTAAATGGGAGAAATATATTACAACGAAGTTAGGATAATAGTATTACAGGTTTCTGTACTAGTATTAGTATTACAGGTAATTCTAAATGGGAAAATAACTTAAGTAACTTACACAAGGACCCATAGCAAATTACGTGGAAAAAAATGTTTTTCTATTTTTAATTACCAGTTTTTTTTCTGGTAGAACCTATGTTGTCTCCCAATTTCAATGTCAATTTAGTTTCTTCAGTAAAATCTGAAAGATGTGCTGAAAACTAAAACCACAGCTGCCATATTTTAAGCTTATCTGTGTTTATACATGTAAGTTTTAGAATAAGATGAGTGAAGTGCTTTGTAAATGATAAAATCGAGAGACAGTTAAGACACTGTTTTTTGAAATGATCTATAAATCTTTTTTGCGTAGTTAATTCAATGAATCATTCATCTATTTAAACCTGACTGCATTATAAACGACTCTCCGAGTTGGTGCCAGGGAAGGATAGTGAATAGCTTATGTGATGGTGGAGCCTCTCCAGTGGCCATTTTATTCCCCCATCCCACATGTGTGTGGCATTCCATTTGAGTTTTGGTGATCGGATAACCTCTAAAATGGATATTTTATCTGAGAGAAAGTTTTTCCAAATGTTCTCTTTCTTAGCATCTTCCAATCTGAATATTACTCTAGAAATTTGGAAAAAGGCTTCAATATTCCACAGCGAAATTGGCCATCTGCTAGTTCAGCAGCCATAAGGCTAAAAGTCTACAAACTTTGGTCAATTGGTTTGATCGAGACTCTTTTGGCTATACTATTGCAATTTACTAAGTGGTCCTCCTTTAGAACACTTACCACATTTATTGCTACTCAGTATGTTATGCAGTTAGTTTTCTTTTGATTGTTTACTGTCTTCCTACCCCTATTAGAAAATATGAAAGCAGGAACTTTGTTCTGTTCATTGCAATTTCCCCAGGGCCTAGCCTGGTACCTGGTACTTGGTATTCATTATGTTTGTTGAATGACTGAATGAACTCTCTCAGACTGCTAAGTTCCTGCAGTGGAGATTTGCTACATATTGGGAAAGTCATGACGCATTTTTGCATTCAAAAAATACGTCATGACTTTCCTGACGATCCAATAAAATGTTAAAAGAGCATAAAGATATGTTTAAGCAGCCTTCCAAGAGTTTCTAAAAAATTAGAATGCCTGCAAAATCCATCTGCTTGCACTATTTGTCATTATTGCCCATACTTGACACTGTAGCTATAATATGCATCTAGGATAGAGAACAACCAAAAGTCTGGGGAGGCATTCTGCCCGCACTAGGAATAGCATCTTTTCCTTTTAGGGAATTTTTTTTCATTTATATCCACCCCCTACCTTTCATCCTTCTTTTTCCTTAGTGTCTTGGAAGAAGGACTTAGGTTAATAGTGGAGTAAATGGTTCCTAGAACTAATTGAGTTCCCTCTTTAGAACATTTAAACAAAAATTTTTCAATTGAGGTATAATTGACATATAACATTATATTGGTTTCAGGTATACAACAATGATTCGATACTTGTATATGTTGTGAAATGATCACCATAATAAGTCTAGTTAACAACATCACCTTACATAATTAATTACAAGAAAATTTTTTCCTGTGATAAGAACTTTTAAGATCTACTCTCTTAACAAGTTTTGATATGTAATGCAGTATTATTAACTATTTACAACATTTTTAAAGATGTTCTTAATTATGAGATTTAATCCTGAAATGCTACAATTTTTTTGGAAGATACACTATTAATTATTTCCCTGTATTTCCACTCTTCAAAAGTATATTCTTTGTTATAAATTCATTCATTTAATGACCATTGTTTTAGTTGAGGCCTAAAGCTTATTAACTGGTAAAATGATTTCTGTCATTCGACTTGCCTGCATGTCATAATGTGTGTCCTCAGATTACCTCTTGGAAATCTGTTGCTAGCGAAACCCCCAATTCTGGCAGCTTCTTTTAACAGACACAGCATTTTTTCTCTCACCCTCCAAAAGCTTGCAGTTTATATAAGCAGAATGGCTTCCCACTGCAGTGAATAGCTACACAGGCACTTAATTGTTCAATACCTCTCCCCGCCCCCCACCCCGGGATTTTAGCCACCTTGCCTTTTAGCTAGGAAGTCATTGGCATGGTTCCCAGGGAGGCTGTCTATTATCCTTGAAAGTTTTCTTCAGGATTCAGCCTGTGGATGAATAAGGCCTCTTGGGCAGCTTGGGCACCAGTTTAAATTTACATTGTGTTTCAGAGTTGGATTATGGGGTGTCGTTCCAAAATGTCATAATGAGGCATATCAAGGAGTTAGTGTCTTTAATTGATGAGTCTCCAGCATGTGCCAGTTGGGTCACATTGAAGAGGACAGAAGGAGAATATTGCTTTCTGTGGGTTGAAAGTAATAATAAATTTAACCCATGACATATCCTGTTTCAACAATATTTGCAGTTTAATGTTGCCTACAACTTTCTTGTTCTCTGTGTAAATTTCCCGAGATGACTTAGTCTGTATTGTAGGATTGTTACAGAGAAATGAATGCTCAGATTTATGGAGGTATTTACATAGCTTGGAGGAAGGGCAGTAGCCACTCAGCGCTACCTGTCCGTTTGCCTCAGGCTTGTTTTCAGGTTAGCTTTATTAAAGTTGGAACCTCTCGGTTTTTCAGTATGTGGAGTTTTCTGAACAGTTATGAGAAAGAAAAACCCGTTCCAGACATCAAATTCTATTATGTTGATGACCAACTATGATTACTACTGATTCATCTCTTTCTTCAGGGGGGAGGGGGGTGGTTCCCTGGAGATATAAAGAACTCAGAAATCTGAAATTTTTCTTATTAAAGCATAGGTTATGTTTTTCATAGGTGTATTTCTGTGAAAGTGAACTATAAAGACTTATTATCTAAATTATCATTTTAGATTTGTGTGATGAAAGATCTCTGCAATATTTTTCCAAAGAACTGAGCTTTTAAAAAAAAAAAATATATATATATATATGGAAAACTTGTTCTATGGTTTCTAAATTAAGATTTCAAACTGTAAGCTTGTTAGCAGTTAAGTGAGATTATACTATTTTAATGATGTTTCATTGTTTTCAGCATCTTTACAGTTGTTTGTGATTTTTAAAATAGAACTTGGAAACCTTTTGTTGTTGTTATTACTAGATTGAGAAAGCACAGTCTGTTGAATTAAAGGCAAAGTAAACATTTTTAGGAGTTTATCAATATTCTGTAAAGGAAACAAGCAAGAATGGTCTCGAATGGGGAAAGGTGATGGATGACATTACTTTAAACATATGTTAAAAATAGACTAGAAGAGATCCTGGACTAGA